GGTGGGACAAGACAAGAGGGGGTGTACTGAGCAGGTAGAAGTTACTGTGCAATGTAGTGTCTCAGAGACAGCACTAGGGTGAACTTTCGCGAAGAAGAATCCCCGGGAAACTGGAAGAAGGAAGATTTGTAACGAGTGTGGGCCAGGAGTCTGATATTGCTCACACCATTGTTTTGTGCGCATAAGGAGCAATATGGACTGCAGCCACTGCTGCCCCTAGAAGAGTAGGTGGTGGATCACGATCAACCGCAACAGCAGGTGATTGCTAAGTTTTGCAACAGGCAAAAATGGACCCACGTCAGTCACATGCTGCAGTTGCAAAAACATTTATCAGGATTGTAAGGCATGTAATCCCAGTCCTGAACAGTGGCACAGTGACCGCATAGGGATGGTCTCTCTGACCGACCAACAATATCTGGTGTTCCTTCGAAACCCGCGCATCGGCGGGAACATTTGCTAGGTGCCGGGACATTGGCGATGGACCACTGATTTGAATGATCGCGTGTTCTTCTCAGTTAAGATCAAATTGAATGTAAGTGGTGATTTTGGACTTATCCGCATGTGGCGAGAATAGGAACATGTTATGCACCCAACACCGTTGTCCTCACTTATGTGCACTTTTCAAGGGTGCCGTTGACCTCAACTTCAATCGTATGGAGGACAAGGTGCGAAAGCATCGAGCAGCCTAGGTGGAAAACTATGGAAAGCGAGGATTTCCGGCGATTGGTGAAGCCTGCCCGCTTCCTCACATGCTATGGAGTGCGTGTGGGTTGCATTTAGGAGAGATGTTCTTGCGCATTCCCATGCGCCAACAATTGTTTAGCAGTCGGTTTTCAAGAAGCGCTTCTCCACAAGAACTTTTAACCAACCTTGTGGCCAGTATTGGAGCACGTGGCAGAGCATGCTTTGCAGTCCGTAGTGTTCATACACCCCATCAAGAACCAGCTCCTCTCTTTTGAATGTCTACCATGAGTTGGAGTAGCCTCACCCATCGACCGCTTCAGACAGGGTATTTGAAGAAAAATGTCTTTTCTAATCGTCCCTTTGCGCTTTTCTGCTAGTAACTCTCTGCACTGTACCGCAACATTTACTTCTATGTATGTGCCAAATTTGATCGACCTAAGTTAGCTAACAGTGCGATATCATGTGAAAGTTACTTCCGTCCTCAAAGGAATCCTTCACGGAAAAATCATGATTCTATTTCAGCCATAAATCACTGGCTTGAGACTCATCATCCACGATAAGAATGAAAAGAACAGAAAAATTGCATTTGTTTTGGTAAAAAATTCGAAAAACCGAAAGGGCTGCTACGCGTTCAAAGTACCGCCGGACATCTGTCACAAATGCTGGCGACGGGAATGCTTCCACTTGGTTCTTGGAGTGCCTTCACTAGAAACTCTTTCTGGCCTTCTGCTTATTGCATTCACATCTCACACTTCTACTCCATCCTATTCTATCGATCGATTTGTCTCTACTCTCCGAAATCGCGCTTTAACCCGATTCTTTCATTGCGTCGCCTGATACGTAGCCGGCCCAAGGCGACTTCTTTCCATGCCTCGCCTTTGGCTCCGCGCCTTACCTTCGATTGTCCATAGAGTGTAGTTTTTGTACGTTTGTTTCTCTTCGGAAACCGAATCTTCATGCGTGAAACTTTGTGTGCTGTTTCCAGTGATCACAACTGATACATTCATGTTGAAAAAATGCAAGAATTTTTCGCAAAGGGTTCCTTTATGTTTTGCACACCAGTGTACATTTGGGGAGCAAAGGAAGCGTCATTTCGCCCATGATGCACATCATGAAAATTTTAGCTGCGCAGGGTGCCTCATAAAGGAGAAGCAGGCCCTCCTTCACTGCCCCCTCCCTCCCCCACGGTCTTTAGAATATGACATTATCTCTCATCATCGTCGAACATGAGGAGGCCTCAAGTAATCGCCCATGCCTGAACCTTCCACATAAATTCTTCGGTGATTTGAGTGGTGGGTATCTTTCTAGAGGCAGTAGGACAGTAGCTATCTGTGTTAGACCGTTTCCAACCGGCGTACAAGAGAAGGTCGTATTGGCCAAGGGTGTGTGGTCGACAGTTCTCTTGATATGGGAAACGTAGTCTACGTTCATCGAACGAACGACACCAATGGGATAATAATGGTCAGTGACGACTTTTCAAAGCGCAGTTTCCGAGCTGGCTCTTGACGGCTGCTCGGATGACTAACAAATAAATAACTGGCATCGCTAAAAAGAAGGAAGGAAATGGAAGCAAAAGTGTGCACGTACGCTGGGCTCCTTTTCAGTCATCATCGCGTACAGGATTTTGAAGATATAAACACCTGCGACCACTGCGCCAAGTACGAACAGGATCTAAAAAAATGCTCAATTCCGCTGATTGGTTCTCGTTTGCTCATTCGGGTTCTTCGCATGTTTTTGATTTCATTTTCTATTTGTCTGTTTCTTACTTCTTGGTGGAATCGATAATTGAAGTTGCAGTATTTCTACACCAGGAGCTATGATTTGGTGGTTAAAGGAAAAGGAACGTTCTTCCTCGAATTTTCAAATTCACGTTTCATAGATATGTTAGAGAAAGTTGTGTGTATATCTTGCAGAGAGTGTATGCACGGCTGCAGTTGTGTTTCTCGTCATTTCACTTACTTCTCGTAGTATCGTATTCGAGTAGTATCGTTAGCAGCTCAAAGCCTATAGTGATATACACAAAATAAAGGGGCCTTGTATCTAGTCTTCTGGCCTTGTTTAGTTTTTGTCCGCATCGCTTAGCACGGATCTACATCTACGTTCGCATGCGATCGGCATCGAATCATAAAAACCTCTTACAGTGGATGTTCAACTGATCCGCAGCACAAAAACCAATCAGAGCATACAATTGGACTACGTAAATGTTTCTCACTGCGGCTACTGATGATGGTACGTTCTGCTGAACCCTTTCGCGAATTCGTTGTCGTGTTTGAAAACCTTACATTAATCCTGGTTGCATTTGCGTTGGTCGTGACTGAGCGTTTTGTTTACCTCTGATAAGGTAAGCTGCTGACGTTCATATTTTTCTTACAAAGCGTTCATCACATTTAGGATTGTTTGTTCTGCGCAAATTGATAAGAAAATTGGACACAACAATCCAAACTCGATGTCACTATTAAGGAGAAGTGTAGCGGTTCTGCGAAATTTTTGAGGGGTGAGAGGGCGATCATTGGTCTCAAAGGCAAAGCACGAGATTTCCGATGCATATGAAGTCCTTGTGCGAGAACTATGGAGTAAAACGCAAGCTCAGAGTGTGAACTACTTAGCCTGACGATTTAACAATGCCCAGGAGCTAAGGCTCGGTTCAATGCGAACACCAGCACAGAACATTTCGCTGCTTATTATTACTATAACAGTAAATTACGCATACTGCGCACCTGTAAGCGTGTCTGTTTCTCGCGTCATGCCTATACGATTACAACCTTTAAAGAAAAATTTTGGAGCGAGACAGGGGTAGCCGTTGCCTCTGGTGGTGTCCTTGTTGAGGAAACTCTTTGCTTGAGTCACTGTAGTATTCGCTCTACTTCGCATATGAAACTGCGGCGATAGCGTCAATGATCGGTGGATGGGAGGGTGAATGACGACTTTTACGAATAAGGCCTTTCAGGAGATGCCCAGCTTCCTCGAAGCGGTTCCTGCGCGACATAAGGGTACGTGCACGAACACTAAGAACTGTGGTTCGTTTTTCCTGAGCAACCCTTTGCATACTAAAAAAGGTGATGAAGTGTTCCGTTGTTAGAAACCTCGCAAAGATCGTTTTCTTGCATTTTGTGTTGGCATTTTAGTAGTCGCGAAAGATAGCATCATAGGGGGCAACTTATGTCATATCTTCACTTAGAACCATCAGCAACTTTTATGCGTAGATTGTGGCTAAAATTTGGTGAACAAAATAGACGGCAGTTCTCTAAGAGACTTTCCTTCGCCTTTCTTTAAGAGGGTTGCTCAGAAAAGAGCTAGTTCTGAGTTTCGTGCACGTAGATATCACTACTATATATAATGCTAATCCCTACTATATATAATGCGCTAAGTCTGCCTGTCTGTCTGTCTTTTGTCACAAAATTCGGTACTGAGCACAACAACAACCCACAGGGTCCGGGTCAAGTTTGAGATTGGTGCAACATATCTCGAGAAGTAAGAAACACACATCAGCTGAGCGGAGCCCTGCCCACAGTGGGCGTGGAGTGCATCGAAATGAGCGGTACTGAGAACCATGATTTCAAATTCAGTCACAGCAGCCTCGAGCAGACAAGTGTATAGGTGCACGTTGGGATCCAGACTGAATCGGGGAGACCCACCCTTAGTTGGCGAAACTTTCTCTAAAAAAGCGGTCTTCAATGAAAAAATTCATTACTTGGTTTGGAGGAGGCCTACAAGCAGGAAGAGAATAATTAGGCAAGCCAAGTCTAATGTATTTCTCCCGCTCCATGATGTGTGCGGATGGAACGCTCCAAATCGGGCGGGGCAGTCTCTTAAAGATAGACGAAGTTTTTCCTACAAAAGCTCCATAAATCCTTCCGCCGGTGACGTAAGACTCTTAAAACAGTCCGGTCAGTAAGAGCAAGGAGAAAGCTCATCCGAGGTCGTGGGCGGGCACTAACGCTAGGTGCACAGAGTTGCATCATAAGCTCAGAACTCGGTTCCTATAAGTCGCGGGGACTCGGAAGATTGATAGGAATGGGGGGAGGGGTGAGCTGCTCTTGTGGCGGCATGCACCAGAGGAGCGCAGTTTGACCACAACCTCCTCCTTACTCACACTATTGGTTCCAAAAAGTTCCGCGGAGTTGGGAAAAAGTAGGTTGGTGGTTGGGGAAGAGATGAAAGCCAACTGCCATCGGTGGGCGAGGCATGCACTAAAGTGGGTTTGCTACAAAGATACATAGCTCGATATTCCCAACAAAACCTCATAATTCGGCTCCAAATGGAATAAAGACCGGAAAACGGTACAGACGTCAAGGAGGAGGGGAGGTTGAAAACGCGGGGTGTGGCCCACCCCGAAGTATGCGGAGTTTGTTACTACTCTTATAACTCGGTTCCAATCCCGGCGACCGGGGAAAATGTGAATAAGGGGAAACGGAAGGGATGGGGTTAAACGCTATTGGTTGGCTAAGCATGCACCGAAGTGGGCGAGGCAGCAGGCCAAGAAAATTCATGACGCATTGCGTCTCCTTCAAGATCTCATAATTTGGCTTCGAGATGACCCAGAGACCCGAAAGGTGTGTAAAGTCTAAAGATAGGGGCAGGTCCCAAATTGGCCTGGAGCGTGGATAACAACTGAATTGCCGAGTTTATGCATACATCTGCGCCCTATCTCCAGGATTATCACGACGATTCCCAATAGTCGGCCAGAGACCGGGGAAGTGGATAAGGTCAGGGGAAGGAATGAAGCAACATCTAGGTCATGCACATAAACAGGCGAGTTCTCCACGGAACATAATAACTCGGTTCCAAGGAGTGCTGGAGGTCGGGATAAAAGTGGGAAAACGTCAGCGGACGAAGAAAAGTTGGCTGCTATAAGTGGGCGCTGCATGCGCAAAAGTGGGCGAAGTTTGCGTCGAAGTTATAATTCGGTTCAAAAGAGTCCCGGGAGACAAGGGAGAATGTGTATAGGGTCAGCGAAGGAAATGAATTCATTTGCTATTACTGGGAGCGGCATGTAGCAATAAGGCGGATTAGTCTTACGCAAAACATCATAGCTCGTTTTCAATCATTGCCTCTGGAGACCGTACAAAAATATGATCGAAAAAAAAAGTGGTTGGAATCCAGCAACGGAGGGAGGTCAATACCATTGGTGGGCGGATTATGCACCAATGTGAGTGAGGTTATCGACGAAACATTACGAGCAGGTCCTAAGATGTCCGGAGACGGGAAAAAGGTGGAAAAGTACTACAACGAAGGGGAGGTCGGAACGGTGGGTGGGCGAACATTGCCAGGAGTTTCACAAAAGATATTGATGGCGTTGTTTTAGTACTACTGCGTCCCGTGGGATCGCACACAGCGTGTCCAGCCAAACTGGTATGTATATACAGGGGTGGCCAAAAAAGACACTTAGCCCATGACGCACATCATCATCATTATAGTGGCACCTGGATTCACAAAAAATGTCACGAGTGTCACGTTTCACAGTCATCGATTCGGAATCTTGACCGCAACTCTAACGAAGGACATCAGCGTCTCTATCATTCAGGTGTACGCCCCAACGAGTGACAGTAACGAAGATCAACATGAGGACTTTTACGATGACCTTGGCGAGCTAGTTCGATCACAGAAAAGCAGTTATGTGGTGGTATCTGGAGACTTTAATGCACGAGTTGGGTCAAGAAGACCAGAAGAACATTTCATTGGACCACACAGTGCAGAACAACGAAACGCAGCTGGAGAAAGGCTGGCAAACTTCTGCGATATATACCACATGTATCACGGGAATAGTCAGTTCGTTAAAGCAGTAAGGAAAAGATGGACATATGAGTCCCCGAATGGGCAGCATTACCACGAACTCGACCATATCCTATGCAGCAGAAGGGCCATCACAGATGTTGGAGTAGTCCCATCATTCAATACCGGAAGCGATCATCGACTTCTACGCGCAAGACTGCACTTCGAACGAAGTCATGTGCGCCTGACACGTATACGATCAAGACAACCGCGGGCGACTATTCTTGATGCAGATGCGCTAAAGGCGATGGTAGACGACGTATCCTTGGACATGAAAAACAACATAAATGAGGACTATGACCATCTACTCAAACACAATCTCCACGCTTGCTTCACAATCGCGCATCATGACCCCCAACCACAACTCCTGTAGAGTCTCGGATACCACGCTGCATTTCTAGAGCACAGAGGAGACAAATGGACCGACATCAAAATCATGTTGAATACACATTGCTTAATCGGCTCTGCAGACAAAAACTCGCTGAAGACCACAGGAATTTCTACCGCTGCCGTCTATTGGAAGCCGCATCCAGCAAACGTAGCATGAAGAAAACAAAGAGAGAGATGGCACAATACCGCCTAACGATTTCTTGTCTGAAAGGTCCCGATGGATTAAGAACTACGTCTCGGCCACAAATGGAAATCGATTACCTGAACGACATCTTCACTAATATCAACACCTTTTCAAATCAGACCGGCAGCCTCCACAGATACAATTACCAATTGGCGAAACGGTGCCATCGTTTTTACCATTCAGAAGTTCGTTGCGCAATCGAAACAATGCCGAGAGGAAGAGCTCCAGGAGCTGATGGTTTATCCTTGGAGGCCTTACAAGCATGCGGTCATAAAGTTTATTGTGCTTTAGCTCAACGTTTCACTCGTTACGTTCAAGAATGCGAAGTTCCGGCCGCATGGAGAAAATCCAAAACAATTCTGCTCTTTAAAAAAGGAGATAAGGGACGTACTTGGAAGAACTTCTTGACCATAACGCTTCCTCGTAATATACAGGTGTTTACATGATTGATTGCTCCGCTCGAATTAGAAAGAAACAAGACAAGCTCGATTCCTGAAACAGGCAGGATTTCGACGAAAGTTCAGCACTTTGGATCACATTATCACCTGCTGTAGAATTATTGAAGCTGCTCGAGAATATCACGAACCACTGATACTAACGTTCATTGACTATCGAAAAGCATTCGATTCAGTAGAGCGAGAAAAGATATGGTCAGCTCTCAATGAACAAGGCGTCGAACTCCGTTATACGAAAATCTTGAGTGAATGCTACTCTGGATGTAGCACAATATTTCGACCGTTCTTTCGTGATTTAGAGGTGACTGTGGAAAAAGGAGTCCGCCAAGGAGACCCCATTTCCCCGAATCTATTCTCTGCTTGCCTGGAGTCTACAATACGTAACTGCGATTGGCATGACACAGGAATCAAAATTGATGGAAGATATCTAAATCACCTAAGATTTGCCGATGACATAGTACTGATCTCAAGAACTTCAGAACAAGCTTCACAAATGCTCAGTGACCTACATGCAGCAGGAACAAAAGCCGGTTTGAACATCAAACATGAATAAAACGAAGTGCATGAGGAATGAGTACTCAGACAGAGATCCTGTTTTCCTACAGGGTGAAGCTCTGGAAGATGTCGATGAATATGTCTGCTCTGGAAGATGTCGATGAATATATCTATCTTGGCCGACTAAAAAAACGACCTAAAAGGGAAATCTTAAGGAGGAAAAAAGCTGGCTGGGCAGCGTACAATTCAGTCAGAAGTGTGATCGAAAATACCAGAGACGAGGAACTGCGAGCAACCCTGTTCAACTCCACAGTACTACCAGTCCTGAGCTACGCCTATTGAACACTTGGTCCCTAACGAAAAATTCGGAAAACCAGTTAAGAAGGATACAAGCTTCACTTGAGCGTCGAATGGTTGGTGTAACCCTACATCAACAACGGATCGCCAGATTACACAACGAAGACATACGTTCGATGTCCAAAGTTCGCGATATCATTTCGCATATCGACAAGGCAAAACACACTTTTGCTGGACATCTTATTAGGCGAGACGACGGACGTTGGAGCACTACAACTGTGCGCTGGGAACCTCGCGACAGGAAACGACCTCGCGGTCGGCCCCCTCTGCGATGGCAAGACTCTCTTGCTCACAGAAACAATATTTGCGATTCTAATTCAATTAAGGTATTAGTCCATTGGACGACATTGGCTCAAGATAGAACATCGTGGAAAAGAAGTTGGGACCCGCGCAAGAACAATCGCTGATAACGGGTCGCCAAGTAATCCAAGTAAGTAAGTCTCTATCTTGAGGCTGTGTGTGTCACGAATGTCATAAAGATACGCCGTCACAGAGTTCGTCAGGAGCTTATTCTGGGATATGATATAGGGGAGTAGGAAAGGAGTATATTTGGTGGGGTCAGAAAGTGATAGCGACTGATAACAGCTGATAAGAGGCGCTCAAACGCAAACTTCACGCAACTTATAGTACCCTCCGCTACAGCTATAAAGCGCCGCATTTTACTTATGCGATAGAGCT